AGAAAGTGCCAGGTGGGGCAGAGGTTGGGAGAGGCTTCGGGGCCATGCCCTTGGTCTTCCTCGGGGGTGAAATCCTCCCAGTTTGGGCCAGTTCAGCTGAACCAATAGGGACGATTGTTCCTGGTTCTGCGAACCAGTAATAAAAAAATGCTTCTGACAATCGCATGGCACATCTGTGACCCATGCCATCATTGGACCCCTTTTCTGTATAATTTTGTAAAAAAGAATTATTTAAAAAGTGAGAAAGGTTGGCCACGCCCACCCAGTCACATGACCCCACCACCAATCCACACCCACAGAAACGGTGGGCCAAAAAATTAGATTCCACCACTGGTCTTCCTCCTCTGGGACAGCCACGGATGGTGGGGTGGGGAGGGTGGAGGCTATTGGGTGAGGGTCCTGAAAGCCACAGTGCCTCTTTCTGTGAAATGGCCCCTGGAAGGATGGCTCTCCAGGGGAAGCACCGCCAAATGACTCAGGCCTGATTCGTGGTGGTGGGCTGCAGACAGGGACCTGACCCCCCCTGGGGCCTCTGCACAGGAAGTCTTGGGCTGGGTGACTGCTCCGCTCTGGATGGGGCCTTCATTTTAACCCCCGAGGGAGAAAGGGCTGCCTTGAGCCCACCAGGGATCAGCTGGGGATGTCGACCCGGTGATGAGGCTCAAGTGAAACCAGCCATCTAGGGCAGTAGGTGGCCCCAAACCTTTTGGGCACCAGGGACCGGTTCCGTGGAAAGAGGTTTTTCCGTGGACTGGAGGGGGGGCTGGTTTTGTGTGCCACCTGCATCCCACGGATGGAGCCCGGGGACCGGGTTTGGGGGGCCCCTGATCTAAGGACTCTGCTGGCACGGGACTCTGAAGTGGGAGAAAGCCGGGATCCTCTCATTCCGGGCGTCCCTTCCCTCCCCAAGGAAGGAGGGGCAGGTCTGGGGCTGCCCCTGCCTCCTGAGGAGACCCTGCTAGGCTGCCTGCCTGCACCCTTCTCCCCGGCCTCCTGGGGCCATCTTTTGTGGGGGGGGGAGGGGGCACAAGGTTGGCCTGGGAGTGAACTACACGTTTGGTTGATGATGAAACGGCCTCCCCCCTCCCACTAAAGCCCCTTTGCCTGGACACCCCCCCCCCGGTGAGGGAGGGGGAGGCGGGGACTCCTCTGGTTGCCTTCGTGAGGGGAGGGGTGTGTGGAGTGGAGAGAGGCTCTTCTGCCGGCATCTCCTCCTAGCTGGGTCACCAGACGATCCAGAAGATGAAGACGGCCTTCAGGATCATCGCGAGTGCTGAGCGAGGCAGGCTGGCTCCTGGGACATAAAAGCCAAGGGCCTCAGCAGGGAAGGTGCGGGAGGGGAGGCCTGCACTGGGGGTTGGGGGGGCTGGACTAGATGCCCCCTAGGTATGTGGCAAGGCATAATTGCTGTATTGCATACGGCCGGAACTGGAATTGGGCAACTGACTCCAGCAGATTCCCAAGGTAACCGGGATCCCTTTCGGTCGAGGTGGAGATGGGATGGCTTCCTTTGCTTCATCGTGACCCGAACGGCCTCGGTCTCGCCAGGACCCTTCATTGGGGGATACGGGGGTTGCTAACTGGGAGTCGGGGCCTTTCTCTCCCCCCCCCAAGAGGTTCTGGGCCCATGAGCGACGCATAAGCCCTTCCTCCACGGCCTCCAAAAACCTCATCCGCGAGTGGGGAGCCCTGCGCTGAGATGGGAGGCTGTGAAGAAGCGAAGCAACGTCAGATTGCGGCCAATCCTTGACTAACGACCAGGGCTGGGATTGGAAACTTGCTTCCAGGCTGATGCCGTCGTGTGTCGAGTCACCATGTGATCAGCCCCAATTTTACGACCATTTTTACAGTGGCCATAAAGCAATCTTGTGTTTTCCTAAGTGAATCCAACTTCCCCCAGATTGAATTTTATCTTGTGAGTCTTTGGGAACTCCTGGAATCCCTTCTGCCCCTCCCCCC